TGATGAGCTTTCTTGAGTTGCAAGTGACATTATTTTTTGTCTTATTATTTTTTTCTATTTTTTTCCCAGTCATGCCTCTCATTTCAGTAGGTTTTTTCATGTCAAATCAAATAGATATTTCAATGAACTGTTGCTATGTACTCCCTAAATTCCAAATTGACTTTCACTTAATCTTCATTTATTAGTAATTCTAAAATGCATATAAATGAAATAATTATAAGAAAGAAGGAAAGATCAAGAAAAGTAAAGAATGAAAGGAGAGAAGAAATAAAAAATAAAACAAGATATGCTGCTTTATTATATAAATATCCACATTATGATATTTGATATATATGTCAATACACACACACACACACACACACACACACACACACACACACACTGTCATCATATAACATAGGCTATTCCTCCCATAAGTAAAACAATACAAGCAAAGTAATTTACCCATTAGTGGTATAATGGACTGTGAGATTGATGTTAATTAGTGCTATGTATTTCTAGAAGTTAATTGTATTCTGTAGACCTGAACATTTTTAGCTCGAAATTGTATCCATATAAGCATGATAATGGTAAAGGAATGCTAGTGATATGTTTAAATATTAACCCATTTTACTAATTCCATGTCCAGGCTTCTCTGATTCTCACAACAATCTGGCTGTCTGAGATTTGAACGATGCAAATTAGCTCACAGACTTCATCATTTCTCACTATACAGCTTTGAAATTATTTAAATTGTTATAAATTAAGTGCATATTAATGAAAGAAATCACAAAAGGAGAAGATTTAGTACTTGGACACATGCAGGAAAGCACCATGTCTCTATCAGTGCTTTAGCGTGTATTTCTTCAGTTTTTTGAAATATTGTAATGCAATAGCGCCTCTTAAGTAAATCAGGGGAAACTTGCAATTGTAGCTTTAAAGCATACATGAGACCTAGTGCTGACCTCAGAATGCATTAGATGCTCATAAAAATCTGTCAAATAAATAATTTGGAGAAACTCACATTCAAAAATTAAATTATCTGTACTCCCAAAAACTCCCTAAAGGTTCTTTCTAAAGACTTAGCCTCAATAACAGCAACATGGTCAGGTACTGTTTTATTTATTTGCCAACCTTTCTCTGTTTTATTTACTTGCCTGATCAGTATTGTTGAAGCATTAGCATTGTTTCAACGGAAACAATAGAAAATTGTCAGCAAGGTTTGTCAAGATCTCCTCAGACACTGAGTTTTAAACTTCAGTGCATAGATGAATAATTAAATACCCCATTCATTTCTACACTTTGTTTCTGTTTCAGTTTTGGAGTTCATATTAGTAACACTCATCTTGGGAGTGGTTAATTTGCTTTTATCAGATGATAAGTCAAGTTTAGCTCAGTGTTGAATAACGAATGGTTAGAAAAGTAATATCAAGATCAACATATTCTAATTATAGTATATTTCAAATTTACACTTGCAAGCTCTGAGGCACATGAGTAAGACAAAGTCATAGATAGTGATATTCCCCCTTAAGTAATAGAAATTCCATAATAAGATTGTGCAGTGTATACAGAACCACTAAAATTATAGAAGCAAAATATTTCCTTTAGAACTTAGAAATAAAAATGCCTGAAATAGTAAATTCCAATACATTTATTTTATATCTTGAAATATCATTTTATTTTTAAAATTAAATTTTAGTTACATTTAATTTTTAAATATATGCATAAGAAAATTGTACATATTTATAGGGTGCTAGGAATGTTTGTATTCATGCATACATTGTACATTGCTGAAATCAGATTAACATAGCTATCTCATCAAGCCTTCATTGATTTTTTAGGATGGAAATACTCTGGTTATTTTCTTCTAGCTTTTTGAATTGTACACTACATTTTCATTACGTATGATCAGGCTGCTTTGCACACAGGAACTTCTTTCTCATACCTATATCCTGACACCCATACACACTGATCAATGACTGTCTCCCTACCTTCAGCCTTGGTAACCATTCAACTCCTAATTCTATGAGACCTTTCACATGAGTGAAAACATTGACTGACTGATTGATACCTGAGTTAAAACCATCTAAAAAATTGGCATCAATGGTATCTAAATGCATCTTCAGGATGTTCTGTTTTCTTCATCACATTCATTTAATGTCTCATTTAATTTCATTTTGTTACAATGGTTCAAACTGACACATATCGATCACATTACAATGCAAAGTTACATTGCTGGCAGCTTTGACACTAAGGGTAAACAGGGACAGGAGGTCCTGTCCTAAAGGAACTTGTTCCCTTCTTAGGTAGAGAAGGATAAAATAGTAAGTCAAGTTATGACAACTCCCTAAGAAAAAGACCCTTAATCAATACTAAAGCACATTGTGAGAAGCGGTTTACACACTATCTCCAACAATTCTAAATCTTTCCAGGTTTTTTTTTATTTTTATTTTTTAGAAGAAGCATTTCATTACAGCTTTAAAATATTCAACAATTTTCAGAGCAAAGATACATCTCTTTCAAAAGTGGCTATAATTTTTTTAGGTTCACAGTGGAATTAATAGTTATACAATATTAATCTCAGTATAAACCCTGTAAGATATATAATTGAATGAGGTTTTTACCCTTTAAAAAGATTTCCATTTCATTTTAAAATATACTGTTTCTTACAGAAAGACATTGCTTTGCTAATAACACTTAGATGTTGGCACATGTGTCTCTAATCTGTATGTATCTGATTATTACTAGTCATAGTCGGTTGCACTTGGCTCCTTGGCACCTGTGTATAGATATAAAGTCATGGGGTAGATTTCAGTGGTAATGTTTATCGCCCTTACTAATTAACATGATGTAAATTTTTATATTTCCTTCTCAAATATAACTTATTTTTTTAATTTGCTGGGTTTTGTGTGTGTATATCACACAGGAGATTCCAAACCATCTTGTTCATCTATACACCCACTTCCCAGATGGCACCCTCCCATACCCCTTATACTCTGTCATCCCTGCTACAGTCCACTGTGTTATTGCACCCCAAGCCATTCCCCACTAGTTGTCTATCTGAATCTAGTCAGCCTATCTAGAGGTCTTTGTTTTAGGAAGGTCAACTATTCCTCATCTAAAAGCAATCAGTTGTCAATATTCATTTAGATAAGATTGGGGTCTGCTGTTTATTATCAGAAAGTGACTTTTTCATGATATTTAAGAATTTTAAAACAAATTCAGCATAATAAAAATATATTCCATATAAAAAAACTGAAAGGAGAAAATGAACAGCAGATTCCATTCCATTTTTATATGGAATGTATTTTTTATTATAATAAATGTATTTTAAAATGCTTGAATATCATGAAAAAGTTACTTTCTGATAATTTTCAATAGATTTTTGAATCTAGGTTTCTCAATGAGTTGAAAAACAGATCTTTCAAAAATATTTGTATATAACTGTGAAGACCTGAAAAGTCTACCATCGTCTAAGTGTTCACTTTACATTATAATTTTCAACTTTATGTTTTATATTTTCATTTGACCATTCTCCTGCTTATCCATTGACAGGTGTTGAACATGACCTTTGTGAAACATGATTGTGTACCTGTGTGTGTGTGTGTGAGAGAGAGAGAGAGAGAGAGAGACAGAGACAGAGAGAGGAGAGAGAGACAGAGACAGAGACAGAGAGAAAGCATAAAAAAAAGATGATGCAAAAAAAGAGAGAAATGTGTGTTATCTGTGATTTTATTGTGCATCCAAAAGCCAGAGGAAGAGCTATAATGCACTCTATGACTGTTGTCCTCATTCCTTTGACTCAGGGTCTCTTGTTGATCATGGAGCTAGGATGGCGGCCAGCAAATCCCAGAAATTTCCTGTCTCTGTCACACAGCTCTGTGGTTATAGGCTTGCACTAAGTCATCACCACCTTTTACACAGGTGCTGGTATCTGAACTGAGGTCTGTATGCTTGTATAGTAAGTCTTTTTAACCACTAAGCTGTCTCTCCAGTCCAGAAATAAAAAAAGCTTTTTAAAAGTAATAGTTTATTATAATTTTCTGAGAAATTGTCTCTCTTTTCCATATTGTTACCTTAAGATAGTGATTTTTGTAACAGTATTTGAACCTTTTTCAAAATACTGTAACATTTTGGAGTAAAGCTTTCCTATAAGAGTAAATAAATGATTTTAGTTCCCTAATCTTAATTTATTTATTGAATTAAGAATGTCTATACAGCAGTTATGTGATTCTTTCAACTGTTTTCACAATTTACATTTATTAATTTTTTTTCATTTAATGCAATACATTTCAATCACATTCAGATTCCCTCTTTTATTTGCATTGCCCTCTTCCACTGGATTTTATGCCATATATTTTAAGGCCTATGGAACCATGTTTGTGTCCCCAGGTGTTCCGAGGTGTGAGTTCATCTACTGGAGCCTAGTCACTCTAAGTAGTCACTAATGTTGCCTTGGTTGTCTTGGGAGATGGCCACATCATGTTGAGCCCTCACAATATTTTGGATAGGGACAGCTTTTACCCATAAGTGAGACTCTTAGAAAGAGTACAATAACTGGAATAGTAGACTGAGGTAACCACAGCAGGACAATGCAGATTTGTTTTCAGATTACTGTTTCTGTTTGTGTCTGTTTTTCCCTTTACCTTATGCTCCATGACCCTTTCACATTCTTTCCTTGGTCTCTTCCTCCTCGTGCTCGTTCTTATGCCTGTTTATCTACAGCCTGTGTCTCACAGTTTATGTTGTATGTTTTCATTGTACTTAATCTCATCAGTCCTCAACTCAACTTCCTAAATAACTCTTTTTTTCATCTTCCAAACTACTTATACCTAGTATATTTATGTTCACTTTAGCTAAATTAAGAAGCATAGGGGAGCTAGAATAACTTGTCTCTCTACCTTCAAGTATCTGTCTACCTGGAAACTGAAGAATGCCAATCTCTTATACAAGTACATAGCACAAGGCTGATTTGGTTGTTCATATGTCAAACTATGACACGGTGTACCAGCAGTGCTTACCTGAGGTCTTGGGACGGTTCTGCTCTGATGTGAGGTGTTTCCACAGAGTGCCCAAATACTGCTCCTTCGGTGCCTGCGGGCAACATAAACGCAACGATCAGAATAAGCCAGACCTGACACGGGGCTTTTATCTGATTTATGCATCAAATATTCTTCCCCAAACTGGGAACATGAGTAGAGTACATGGAGGTTCAATATTAGAAGAGGCAGGAAAGGCAGTTCTGACTTTCCCTATGTTAATTACTTAAAAGATTATATTATTCTTACTTTAGATTACCTAATTTATATTACTTACTTTTCATTACCTTACTTTTACTTTAGAAGAAATGTCGCCTTCTGATCAAAGAACACAGGCTCATCTCTTTCCCTTCCTCATTTCCTGGTTAAGTGAAATTCAAGGGAAGGATAGACTATCACACTTAGGTCAGCCTTCTTATAAATCAGAAGGCATGATAACTCTGTAGAGGGTAAGCTCAGTCTGGTTCAGTGTTAACTATTTACAGACAGGTTTCAAAGGATGTTTAACAATTCTCCAGCAAAGAGCTTTACAGAGCTCATCAAAAGGCAAGGAACTTCAGGTTGCTTTGACCTCAGTGAAGTTAAGGCTATCTAAAGCTGTGAACCACTTTAATTCACTTATTATAGTCGGGTTCATCTGGGGCCACTTTTGTCTGAAGAGGTCATATTCTTCAACATCTTGCTCAGACAGCTGAATGACACATGATCTGAAATCACTTACTGACTCCATTTGATTTTCCAGACTTCTAAAACTTTTCAACAATTTAACTGAGAAAAAGAGAGCATTTTCCTCTTCAAAAATCAAGTGAAAAAATTCTTTCTTATAGCATAATGGCAAAATCGCTTTTTTAAATATAATTTATGCAAATGCTTCAGATCATTTCCTTCAGAAGAGACATTATTTTCTTTTGATCTAATTTTCCGCAAATATTTTGATGTAAAGATGTCGTGCCGATTCGATAAATGTTGTGAACACTATTTTAGTAATACAATGCAATTAAAATCTATAAATTAAAAAAATCAGAATGAATGTGGTTCTGCATACTATGCAAGGAAGAATAAAATATTTTACTTCAGCAGCAGTATAACTCTGTTACTAGGAAACTAGAGCTAACACTGAAAATATTTTTTAAAAGCCTGACTTCATAAATAACACATCAGATACACTCCATTATCTTTTAAAGACAAATAGCCTTGTGCACTTTGATCTTGAGTCATAAGGAAGAAAGCTTTTTTCCAAGAACTGGAACATAATTTATATATAGTCCAGGCTGCAGATTTTACTTTGTGACTTAAAACCTACTAGAACCTGTTTAACTTTCATTGGCTTCAGTAACTTTTTTCCCTACTGAGAAAGCTCTGTATGGCACAGGGTACTTATTTCTTATGACTTTCATTAATTCAGAGATCTTATTTTTAAGGGTTTCACTCATTGATATTTTGTGTAATATTTTTATTTCTGTATATGGAAAATTTCTTTTTAAATATTTTATTTCTTATGTTTATTTTATATGTATGAGTGTATTGTCTGCATGTAAGTGAGTGCACCCATGCTGTGCAATGCCACAGAGGTAAGAAAAGGGCTTCAGATTCCCCTGGAACTGGAGTTAAGGATGATTCCTAGCTGCCATGTGGATGCTGGGAATCGAACCCAGGTCCTCTACAAGTGCAGTCAGTGCTCTCAGTCTGAGCCATCTCTCCAGCCCCAGAAAATTTCTTAAGATGGGTCTTGAATGGTAAAATAATAGTTTTTAGTAAAGTACCAATTCTATTATTTTGCTGGGGGTGGCATTTGAAAGAATATTCCAAAGCATAAATTTACATATCTCAAAGAGAGGGACTGACATTTTAACACAGAATATAATTTCCAGAGAGAATAATTATTCATCTGTAAAGTTCACAAGCTAATTTCTAGTATTGTATGATTATGAAAATATCCTAGGAAAGGTGACAGAAATATAATTAGAGAACAGTAACTATTTATTTTCAAACACAGACAGTCTCACATAGTAACTGCAGTTTCTATATGGGTGAAAGTATATCCCCACCAAAACTTCTCAGTGATGACCGAAAGCTTTAGCTATCTCAATTTTAAGTTTATATGTAGAGAATTCTTGATAATTTTTAGTGGTTCTTTTTTTTAAGTTTTAAAAATATTTTGTTTTTTAAATTATTTATTTAATAACCACATGATTAGAAGGAGCATTTCATTCAACAGCATTGACATATTCACAATTCCCAGAGCAAAGATGCATCTCTTTCAAAATTGCCTGTAAAATTTTAGGTTTATAGTTTAATTGAATGAGGTTTTAACCTTCAAGAAAGATCCCCATTTCATTTTAAAATATACTGTTTCATACAGATAAACTGAATAACATTTTTAATTAAAAATAATTATTTATTTAATAACCACATGATTAGAAGGAGCATTTCATTCAACAGCATTGACATATTAACAATTTCCAGAGCTAAAATGCATCTTTCAAAATTGGCTGTAAATTTTTAGGTTTACAGTTGAATTAATACAGTTATAAAATATTATACTTAGTATAAACCCCATGAGATATAAAATTGAATGAGGTTTTAATCTTTGAAAAAGATCTCCAATTCATTAATAAAATACACAGTTTCATAGAGAGAAATTCATTTTAATGCAATTAACACTAAGATGTTTACACATGCTTTTCTAATCTCTGTATATCTGATTATTACTAGTCACAGTCGTTTACTTTCTGAGATCCTTGGCCTCTGAGCATGGATATAAAGTCGTCAGGTAAATTTCGGTGGTAATGTTTTTCACATCTACTAATTATTAAGGAGCAAATTTTTATGCTTTGAAGAATTTTTAAAAATTTTTAAAAATTTAATAACCACATGATTAGAAGAAGCATTTCATTACAGCTTTAACATATTCAGAAACACACTCCAGAGCAAGGATACAGCTCTTACAAAAGTGGCTATAAATTTTTAGGTTCACAGTTCAATTGATACCATTATTCAATACTGAACTCAGTATAAACCCTGTAAGATATAAAATTGAATAAATTTTTACCCTTTAAAGAAGACCTCCATTTCATTTTAAGATATATTCTTCCTTGCAGAAAGACTGATTGTTTTTGCTATTAACACTGAGATGTTGCCGCATGCATCTCTAATCTGTATGTATCTGATTATTACTAGTCATGATTGGTTGCACTTGGATCCTTA